ATGGCTCCAGGTCGTAGTCTTTTAGAAGCCCTATTAAGGTCATCAGGAGAAAAATGGTCTGAGCATATCACACTCCATTTTTTCGGATTCCAGGAGGAAGGTTGGCCTGTAAATTCCGCCCATGCGACTCTTAGGTCATTTTTCGGGAACGAAAAAAAAGATTTTATCTTGACAAGTACTATTATTTTCACAAGATATTACACTGCAGTACCTCATGTTCATACATTACAGGGCCCACTGTTTATCAACACAGCTGTACAACTTTCCTACTCTTTGGACCCTGAACTTTCTTTCAGATATTAACTCTTTGTAAACAAAAAAAAATCTATTTTGAATAAAAAAAATAAAAAATTGTATAAAAGAAACATTAAAAAAAACATAAATATGCCCCTAAAATAAACACAACAAATCTAGGGTCCGGTTTGCTACATCAGCTGGTAGGCCCATGGAAAAAATTACCAAAATAAAATTTGTACTGTGGCCGAGTTCAGTGTAGATAGATAGATAGAATCATATCTATAAGCGGGCCGTGGTCCAATCCAATATGTTTTGGTTCATTTACCACTTATTTTAGTTTTTATCTAATTATTTTAGGTGGTCCTGAGTTAATTCTTGCTTCTCATGCCAAATCCGGTCAAATCGTTTTGCTAGAAATGTCACACAGGAGAGCCAAATTTTTCCTCAAAATTTATTATAAATTAATTTTATTTAGTCATAAATAACTAGACACAACTTATTTTTATATATATTATATATATTATACCAAGTATTCATCTTATTGATCGATTCTTGGCTAAAATCATTCAAATTATTTATCTTATTATTTTTATGTCTTATTTATTATTATGTTTTGTTAAAATTCATCATTAAAACAATTCAAAAATCTTTTCAAATACATTGCTTAAACACAGCCGCATATTGACAATAACGGTAGACATTTTGAATTAATTTGGTTTGGTAGATTTCACGTGGATCACTTATCGCAAGTTATGGATGTCGCTTTAGAGGGGTGTAAGAATATCTACACAATTTTAGATAAGGTAATACAAGCACTCTAAAGAATAACTACACACTTAAGCTCTTAAGATTAAATACAAATTCATCTTTTTGTTTTAGGCAGTTCGGCAGCACGTCTCAAATACGGGAGCTTCAATCGGCTGGGAAACGGCCGGATAGTTGTTTTTGCTGCATCATAATTTTGATATTTTCAGAATCCAGGTCGATAAAAATGCCGAAAGCTGCAAATAAAAAGCGCGCGTTTATTGATAAAAAGAATGCGGTCAGCTTTCAGCTTATCCATCGGTCACAGCAGGTACAGATCATTCGCAGACAAATTGATTGATTGATGGATGTTTTATTTATTTTTGTTCACTTGATTTGGGTTCAATTGACTTTTTCTTCAATTGATATATTTGTTTTCGATTTAAAACTGTTTTCATTGATTGATTGGTAGAATGCTGCATTGCTTAATTAGTTTATATCGTATTTGAATTGATTCAGTAATTAATGCTTGAGTTGATTTATTGTTAAATCATGTGGTTAATTGATTCAATTGTTGATTGATTGATTTAAAAAAAATTAATTGATAGTTATTGGTTAATCAACTGTTTTACTTGTTTAAGATCTCAATAGATAACATTTAAATTGGAATGATTGCCAAGATTCACTTTAAGAATTGCCTTTATTAACATTAAATGTAAATCAAATAAAATTATTTAGGTCCCAACAAAAATTTCATTTGACCTCTTTTGTCATTAAATATTAATGAAGTTCAAAGATTTGAAATTTTAAAAGGTCTTTACTTTGAAAAGCAAATAATCAGCTGATTCTGTTAAGGATCCGCTGGCAGCTGATGAAGATGCCCCTCAGATGATCCTTCAGAGGATTAACAAGGACAAGGTTAAGGAGGAGGAGAGGAAGTTTGGAGTATTCTATGAGGTGACCATTTTTATAACAATTTTCTCCTTATAGACGCAACAGATAGAAGTAAGATTAGTAGCGATCAAAAGCGGTTATTTTTCGCCGTAAGCCTATACCCCCCTTTCATTTTTCGCGAACACTCCCTTTAAACTTTGATCATTAAATCGAGCCGAATTGATAGATATTATATACCTCAGGTCTATATCAAGTTAAAAAAATTTATAGAAATTAGAGTTTGTGGCGAATTATCCGTTCCTCTGGTACTTACATTCGGGTAAGCTTGGATTACAATATCATGAATGTCTTGGCTTGCAATATCAGCGTGTGTTGTAGGATATATATTTGATTGATTGATTGTATGTGTAGGACGATTACAACTATCTGCAGCACTTGAAGGACAGGACCAAGGTGGAGCACGACTGGGAGGCCGCGGACAGGTAGAATATATTTTGTACATCATTAAAGGGATTGTGCGTGTCGTTTATAAACTGTTCTCTGAAAACTTTGTTTAATAAAAAAAGAATGAGATATCCATTATTCATGTATGTTACAAATAGATTACTTTAACTGTGGATTCTCTATAAAGGTTACATGCGGATTTCTGCTTTAGAAAAAGCGGAATAAAATGCCAGCATAAAACATTTCATGCTAGATAAATTACAATAGCTTCCTCGCCATTAACAAGATTACCGAAAGGCTACCGAACGTAAAGAGAGCAATGCCCGATTTACTACGGTAGAATAGATATCAATGTTAGTGTTTCTTTAAACTGATGATTTTTAATTGTGGTTTCTCGCCAAAGTGACTTGCACATTTCTTCTTTTTAACAAGCAATGGAGAAATGATCAGAATTAAACACTTTTCGAGTCAGGAAAACGATCTTTCACAGGCTGAGATTAAGGTTTCAATGGTATCGCTGTAATTGATATTTTTTCAAGGATAAAATATTAGGACTAAACCCAAAAGCAGTCCATGAATCGTTACAAAAATATTTGTTTATTTAATCCCACAAGCCATAAAAAATAAACATTAAAGGGACAGTAAAGGAAAAATGAAAGGGGGTATAGGCTGAAAGCTAATCACTTTAGCTCTTGATCGCGACCCATGAAAGTTTTATCTGATGTTACTATCTCGAGAAATTGATATAAAACTGTGTTAAAATCATACGAAAGTTCATATATGTAAAATTTAGAAAATCTTAAACTTAAATCACGTGACCAGAACTATCACCAATGGCAGAGCTGTATACTGATCACGTGTCTCTGCCTGTATCACGTGACCACTTTACTGCACTGTCATTGGTGGATTTTCTGGTCAAGCAATTCGGACGTGTAAATAATATTATGAGATAAATCTATTAAAAATAGAAATAACAAATATAAAATTTGAATTGGAGTAAACTTAAGTAATGATTAGCTTTCTCGGGGATATTATCGTTTTCAGATTGGTTGCTTATTTGCTGAATTTGATCTATTTAAACCCTCTACTTTTATACAAAATTGTATATATATTAATTTTCGTATAAATTTGACACAGTTGTAAATCAGTTTCTCGAGATAGTAACATCAGATATAACTTTCATGGGTCGCGATCGAGAGCTAAAGTGATTAGCTTTCAGTCTATACCCCCTTTCATTTTTCCTTTACTGTCCCTTTAAACATATTAAATTTTGAAAGTTTCAACTCAACATTATTATGATATTGAATTTTCTGATGCCGATGAATTAAAATAATAGGTATGTATTCTCAGGTTTATTCTTGAGAGAGGAGAACGGGATTCAGCGTCGACCCCTGAACCCAGTATCAAGGTACCATTTATACCAGAGGTGAAAACTTTTGGACTTTAAATTTGTTTATTTAATTTTCAGGGAAATTATCACACCTGCTCCAGCAGCTACTTTTATGTATAGTATAATCCGCCTAAAAGTCGTTGTAAAAGACTTCTATTAAATTAATTGCCGTTTGTTATTTTTGAAGCCTAAAGGGCTAACTAGGAACTCTCATTCTCAGAGCGATAGCTTGACTTTATCGCCCTACAACAGGGCGAAAAGTGACTTTATCACCCTGCTTTTAAATTTTCAAATTTAACACCTAATATAGTTTTGCTGTTATATTTACTTTTTCTTGTATGGTTTCAATCAAAATAAAAGTATTTCCACACCACGGAAAAAGCCACCCAATTCTTTAAATCACTTCTTGATTTTGTCTTGGATTTCTAGAATTTCAAGATTTGAAAATCAATTAGTAGCCGGCCGGTTGTATTTTTTTTGATGCTATCAAAATACTAATTTACCCAAATATCGTTTGTTTTTTAAGTTGCGATGCTTCTAAGACAAAACATGATTTTGATGATTGGGGGGTTTGTAATTTTATACCATATTTATGTACTCCAGGATGCGAAGACCAGGGTGGGTGAGACTATATCTCTACCCCGGGTGGTGTTCCCGTCTAATGAAGAAGAAGAAGTCGGTTTACTAAACAAAGCTGCCCCAAGGTTATTCAAAATCAGTTTTGGACCCTTAAACAACTTTGACTTCGAAGAAAAATGTCGGCTTGTAAAATTACATTACAAAAAGCTAAAATTGTTCTTAGAACGAAGGTACACGACGAGCCCCAAAAGCCTAGTTAGTTAAAATTGAACTTTGTATAATCAAAAACAATAGAAAGGACGCCTTGCTCTATTGCTTGTTGCTTGGAATCTCTCATCTTCCGAATTCGCAGTGTTAGATTTTATAAAATATTCTCTATCTTGTAATTTTGACTCATTTCCTTAATTAAGTCTCCTTCCGGGAAATTGGTGCATTTTAATTGCGCGCAATTGTGAGCCCATCATTTCTGCGTAATTCCGATTGGAATTCTTTTTACGAATGATGGATTGACGCTTGATAATAATAATAGTAAAATTTTCAGAGGTCTCGACCTGAGTCTGGATCCGGATGTGGTCGCTGCTATGGACGACGATTTCGACTACGAAGATCCTGAAAACGAGCTCGATGATGATTTTATCCTGAAGGCTATGGGAGAGGGGGAGGATGATGATGATGATGATGATGAGGGGGAGGAAGGGAGTGATCAGGATTGGGAGTCTGATAGTGATCGTATGGGAGGAAGATCGGAGGACGAGGATGAGGACGAGGTGAGAAAGTGTTTAATTTATTCTTCTTGAGGTTTTAGTTTTGGTAACATCAAAGGGGTTGAAGTATTAGTATGCATTATGAAAGCAATTTTATTGACGATTTTTGGGGATAATTGTTATCTCTTTTTTTGCTTTCAGAAAACACTAAAAATCTTCAATAATTTTAATTTTAATTTTGCTTTTATAAAACTTTGGAAATTGTTGATGTTAATTGTTAAACTAGCAGATTTTTGTACAGTCTTTTGAAAGTATAACATTTCTGAACTTACTACAGTATTATCAACTTTTAATAACATCTTCTCTTTGTACAGTATAAAACAAAAACAAAAAAAGTTTGCGGATTTCAAAATATTTGTTTGCGCATTTTCAAAATTTTTCAAAAATAAATAACTTTTAAAAACAATTAAAATTTTGATCATTCATGAACCTTCCCTTGGGTCACGTGAGGTCCCACAAAAAAATTGGTCCCGATCGGTTCCGCCGTTTTGACGTTTATTGGATACAAACAAACAGACAAGCTAAATTTATATATAGACTAGCCTTAGAGGGCGCTTCGCTCCCATCTTCTAAATTAATTGTGAGCATGTTCTCTTTGTGTACATCGTAAAACAAAACAAAAATAATTCGTGGATTTTCAAAAAAATTTCAAAAGGGGATGGTGGAGTTGGCACATTTGATGTAGGGGGGGGGGCCCTGCCTTCATTTTTGGTTCAAATCTTCCAATTTTTTGCGTGCACGCCTAATTAGTGATCGAAATTCATAAAATAAAATCAAATTGAATTTTAATGACCTCTAATGACCTCTAATGACCTCCAGAAATAGAAAATATTTTAACTATGGCTTTATGCACATCAAACGAAAGCTAGGGACCCTAGATAGATAGATAGATAGATAGATAGATAGATAGATAGATAGATATATAGATAGATAAATAGATAGTATATATAGATATATAGATACATATATAGATAGATAAATAGATATATTTATTTGTGTGCGGCCTATGTGCAAAGTAAGGATAACCTATTATTTGGCACTTTTTTAATGAAAATGTTCAGATCTTAGAAGCACGTGTCTTAACAGTTTTTATAATAAAAAAGTAAAAAAAATGGATTTTTTCCTCCTTTCAAATTCATTCAGCTCATGACGTTTTTGTTATTATTTAATCAATATTAGTTCAAAATATCACGAAGACCCACGTAAAACACTGAATTCTAAAAAGTTAAGATAAAAGTCTGTTAAAAATAAACAAGTTGTTGGGCTATAAACGGACTTTAACTGGAAATTTGCCAGAGTCCTCCAGAAAATTAGTTTTCTTGCCTTAAATCAAAAATTTTCAAAATTTCTAAAAAACCAACGAATCAGTGGTTCGAGGCGCAACTTAGTGATTTAAATATTTTTTAAAGCAAAGTCTGAAAATCAAATTACTCCAACATTATGCCTACCATATTTTCGCAGATTTATTGTATGAAATTTATTGATCCTTTGCTTCAAACTCAAACTTTCTATCCCCGTACTCTTTTCTTATAGACCTTAGATCACGGGCATACGTAGTACATTTGAATTTCCGAGCCGGGTCAACCTTTCCGGTCCCAGTTTGTAATGCACCGCCCGGACATTGGGTAAATAAAGCAGACACTCAATAGGACCAGCCGGTGCAACAAGGTTGACGCGGTCAGACTTTAGGTTGAATTTACTTTTACGAAAAGGTCAGAGGTGCGTGAGATGCTTTAAACTATGAATTCTTTTAGATAAAATGAATTAAGCTTGAAATATAAAGTTTTTTACTAAAAATAAGAATTGCTCACGGATATATAATAAAATGGATGGATCATAGACGAGTTTAGATGTAATTTTCTGGGTGGGGTGTTATGCAGTACATTGGAGTTCTAGCAGACAATGGACCCTGGACCAGCTCTTGCATAATTCCTTTCTTAGTTATTTAGCCAATCAGTTATATTCCACTGAATTTTGTTTAATTCCTTTGTGTAGTTTTCAATGTTTAAACTTTATTTCAAAGATAGCTAAATTCTCGTTCCCCACCGACCTTTTTAAAGGCTTTAACATAAATAATACTGAGGATTCAAAATAATAAATATATTTTTAACTAAGAGTAAGAAGGTGGAAGGGGGGGGCGAAGCCCCTTCTACTAAAAATAACACTATAAATGCCACCCACTCTTGAAAGTTACGCAGGACTATAAAGTATACAGTGGGAATGATTCATATTTTTTTCTNTGAGAGGTGATGGGGAGGCGTTACCCCCCCCCCTTCCAGTCTATGGTGAACATTATAGCCATATTCGGGTGTCCCAATAAACATGGAAATCAAGTCGTAACTTCTTAATTGTCTTTATTCCACAAGGCATTATTCAGTAAACACAAATTAGTATATTTCCATTATTAACTTCTGACACAAAAACACTAGTCTCAGGATTTCTAAAATTCAAATCTGCAAAATCAATAACATTTTAAAGAATTAAATATCTCCGTCAATTTTGAAGAAAAAAAGGAAGACCACATTTTGGAAAGCCCAGTTTTTGTTACACTCTAACTTAGTCATTCATCAATTATTGGAAATTCAAAATCAATTTTCCCAATCTGACAAGTGTAAAAAAGATTAGAATGTCATCTATGTTCTAATTATTTTTTTCCCTTACAATATATATTCAAAAAAAAGGCCAAATTTTTTATTTAAAAAAGTATTGTTTATATAATATTGATAACAATAATGAGGGATTCTTCCTTCCTACTGATTTTTGAACAAGATCAACTTGGACAGCTGAACTTGGATCTTGGTTCTCTGAGATTTTACATTCTCCAGGGCATCCTCCAATGATTTTACTTTCTGCTTTAACCTGGTGTTCCTAACTCGAAGTTTGTTGTTAAGCTGTTGTAAATCATTGTTTGCAGCAGACAGTCTATTGAGTGTGGTCTCCTGGGTTTCATAGGAATGATCTGAAAAAAATATTCTTTTTAAATCTAGAAAAAGCTTTAAAACTTTATATTGATAATGAAATCTTCAAAAAAAAATACATATTATTGCAGTGCTGTAACCTAATTTTCCCTTTTAATTTCACAGAGTTTAGTTTGAAGAAGAGAAAAAGTAGTACTTAAGTAAGCAACCACAAGGTGATTGGACTGTATGTGTACCTTTAAAGTATACTTGTTCGACTTTTGCCTCATATCCAAGAAGCTAAATGTTCTGAATTTACAGTTCAAACTTTGCCCCCACCCCTCCTAGGAGCTCCAGGGGGGGGGGCAAAGTATAAGAATTTCTTAAAGGAAAATTACAATATAAAAGAATGGATACAACTTTCAATAACAGATAATTTCGTAAAATGAATACTATAACCCGTAAAAAAGTATGCCTGATCGTCTAGAAGCCAAATATTTTGAATTTACAGTTCAAATTTTGTCCCCCCCTCCATAGGAGCTTCCAGGGGCGGGGGCAAAAAAATGTATGCGCTTCACGCAATTTTGGCCCCCCCCTCCCGTACATTTCATTCTGTATACGCCCTTGAAAACCCCATATATTTTACAGTCTGTCGCACTTTTGGACCTGTAAATTCCCGTTTTTACTATAACCCCTCTCCTTTTGCACAATCACACAAATTTTCAAATTTGTTCAAATATCTAAGAAAAACCCATTTATTTTACCGTTTGTCCAAGTTTTTCACCTCTAAATTTTCGTTTACCTATATATGTACACTGTACAGTCAAACATCTTTTGATTTTTAAAGAAGTTTAAAAATGAATATAACATTTTTCGTCAAAATCAAAAAAGTTCACATTTTTCGAACTTTTTAAAACAAAAATTGAATCATATATTACCTTGAACTGCTAATGACTGTGGGTTAGAGGATGGCATGGCTCCAGATTGTAGTCTTTTAGAAACCCTATTAAGATCATCAGGAGAAAAATGGTCTGAGCATATCACACTCCATTTTTTCGGATTCCAGGAGGAAGGTTGGCCTGTAAATTTCGCCCATGCTACTCTTAGGTCATTTTTCGGGAACGAAAAAAAGATTTTATCTTGACAAGTACTATTATTTTTACAAGATATTACACTGCAGTACCTCATGTTCATACATCACAGGGCCCACTGTTTATCAACACAGCTGTACAAACTTCCTACTCTTGAACTTTCCTTCAGATATTAATTCTTTGTAAACAAAAAAAATCTATTTTGAATAAAAAAAATAAAAAATTGTATAAAAGAAACATTAAAAAAAACATAAATATGCCCTAAAATAAACACAACAAATCTAGGGTCCGGTTTGCTACATCAGCTGGTAGGCCCATGGAAAAAATTACCAAAAGAAAATTTGTACTGAGGCCGAGTTCAGTGTAGATAGATAGATAGAATCATATCTATAAGCGGGCCGTGATCACACACACCAAAATCCAATTTTCTATAATTTTCTATATATCTTTGGGCAGAGTAAAAAATTTGTATTGTGTAATAAAAGGAAAATTATTGATATCTAATTTAAATAGGTTTAAAATCTCAGATTCTTCTGCAGGAGCCTTTTAAAAAATCCAATATCCATAAATAAAAAAAAAAATCCAATATCGATCAATTTTAAAAGAATCAAAGATCCATAAACTTTTTAGAATCCAAGATCCATAAATTTAAAAAAATCTAATAATGATAAATTTAAAAAATCTAATAATGATAAATTTAAAAAAAATCCAATATCCATAAATTTTAAATTATCCAATATCCATTAATTTAAGAAAATCCAATATCCATAAATTTTAAAAATCTAATACCGATAAATTTTAAAAAATCCAATATCCATAAATTTTAAATTATCCAATATCCATAAATTTAAGAAAATCCAATATCCATAAATTTAAAAAAATTCAAGATCCATAAACTTTAAAAAATCAAAGATCCATAAATTAAAAAAAAACCAATATCCGTAATTTTCAAAAAATCCAATATCTATAAATTAAAAAAAATCCAGTATCCATCAATTTTTAAAAATCCAAGATCCGTAAACTTTTAAAAATCCAATATCCATAAATTTTAAAAAATTCATTGTCCATAAATTGTAAAAAATCCAATATCCATCAAAATGATGGGGTATCAAGGGGGGCACAGTGGGGTATCAAGGGTGGGGGGTCAACAATATTTAGTTTACACCAAACACCTTTTAAGTCAAATAAGGCTCGGTCGCTTAAGTATTTTTTAGAGAAGTAGTTTTAATGGTGAGTTGAAGTTCCAGAATCCAATAGAAAACTGGTCATTTCAGTGAAAACACGTAAAATATGTTATACACAAGTTGAAATTTCAGACCAAACAAAACTTAGGCTCGCTTGTGGCGCCCCACACATATTTGATTAATGGTCATAAGAATCTAGATTATCCTGAATCCGGTGTCATTTTTGAATACGTTGAACAGTGTTAACGAATTTGAAAAAAGCAGCCTAGGTTGTCGTCTTCCATCATCAATCAACAAATAACAAGAGGATAGAGTAGAGAATTATACGCAGTAACACTGCGCATAAATTTACACACATCGTGGAGCCATTATCATAGTGTTATAGGGGAAATACAGCCGCATATATCATCTATAGTGAAAATAGCTTAAGCACAAGGACACAAGCCTAGCTATCAACAAGCTATATATATAGATCCCAAATGATGGGGACGATCCAACCTGCTTATATACACAGGGTTGCAGTGCTCTAAATGCCACACAAGGACACAAGCCAAGCTATACAGCAAAGTATATATCGATCCCAAATAATGAGAATGATCTTACCTGTGTTATCAAAACATGGATTTAGGTCCTTCATTTTAATTTAAGGCATCCAAAACACCCAAAATGACATTCAAATTTCTAACTATATCAATTTTTTGTATGCTTTTAGTGATAAGAATAGGTCTTTCAATTTCAACACTTTTGATGCTTTGACCGTGTAGTAAAGCATCCAAAGTGTAATTTGAAAGCATCATAATCAACATTTGAAAGCATCATAAGCAAGGAGCAATCAAATTTGATGCCTTAATCACTTTTTTTAAAGAAAATATTAACTTCCCAGTCAAATTATGACTTCATAAGCTAAGAATTAGGAAGCATTGTTTTTCCCTGTGCTTTTCAGATGGATTTAACTCCACAAACATTTCCTCATTGGTTTTAAAACAAGAAGAAAGAAATTCTTAATATTTCAGGTCAAAAATCATTTTTGATGCTTTTCAGAAAAAACTGAGAAGGGCAATTTTTGGCAAGAGTCAAACTCTTATACAAAATTGAACGAGAAAAATGAGACTTAGAAATGATTGTGACTTATAATTTGAGACTTAGAAAGTGTCTTAGACATAATTTTGTCTCCAAGAACAGGCTTAAACATATTTGTGACTTGTGCCTGTGACTGACAATGTGTTTTAGACATGGTTAAGCCTTACCAAGCATGACAAAGGNTTAGACGTACATATCATTGACCTTGAATGGTGACTGAAAATGTGTCCTAGACGTAATTGTGACTTAGAATGTGTCTTAGACAAAACTTTGACTTAGAAAAGTGTCTTAGACATGATTAGGTCTATTGAGTTTGTCTTCAAATGGTGACTTATATCTTGAAATGACATTTTTGATGTTTCCCTATAGGTTAAAGATATTTTAGAGATTTCCGCAGCTTGGGTTATGTTAGGTTACACAAAGCATCACAAATTACATGTGAAAGCATCATAATTGTCCTAATTGATAAAAAATAGTTTACTCTCTTGCATTAAATAGTACGGTGTTAATCTAATACATAATAATGTCATTATGTACAGGTCTACAACATAAATTGTTAATAAAATACAGCGTACTGCAGGTTTACAGAATACACGATATTTGATACAGGTGTATATCTTTGTGAAGGTGTATGTCTAAGTAAAGTTGTATGTATGTATGTGCAGGGAAGGTGTATGTCTAATCAAGGTTGTATGTATTGCAAGTGCAGAGAATATGTATGTCCAAGTAAAGTTGTATGTATGTTTGTGCAGAGAATATGTATGTTGTATGTATGTTTGTGCAGAGAATATGTATGTTTGTGCATAGAATATGTATGTCTAAGTAAAGTTGTATGTATGTTTGTTCAGAGAATATGTATGTCCAAGTAAAGTTATATGTATGCTTGTGCAGAGAATATGTATGCCCAAGTAAAGTTGTATGTATGTTTGTGCAGAGAATATGTATGTCCAATTAAAGTTGTATGTATGTTTGTGCAGAGAATATGTATGTCCAAGTAAAGTTGTATGTATGTTTGTGCAGAGAATATGTATGTCCAAGTAAAGTTGTATGTATTGCAAGTGCAGGGAATATGTATGTCCAAGTAAAGTTGTATGTTATTGTGCAGAGAATATGTATGTCTAAGTAAAGTTGTATGTATGTTTGTGCAGGGAATATGCATGTCTAAGTAAAGTTGTATGTATATGTGCAAGTGCAGAGAATATGTATGCCCAAGTAAAGTTGTATGTATTGCAAGTGCAGGGAATATGTATGTCTAAGTAAAGTTGTATGTATTGCAAGTGCAGGGAATATGTATGTCTAAGAAAATTTGTATGTATATGTGCAAGTGCAGAGAATATGTATGTCTAAGAAAATTTGTATGTATATGTGCAAGTGCAGGAAAGATATATGTCTAATGTCTAAATTAAGGTTTAAGTATACGGATATGAACAATTACCCTTCTGACGTCACAAATATCTCTAATACAAGTTCTGTATAGATAACGCTTGATTTTATCAAGTAGTAGAGTAGATGTATGGAGAAGAGGGTAGAATGAGATGAGGAAGGAGATATTTTGTAAATATTATGTTTATTTAATACTGTTAAAACACATATTTTTACTCTAATACAAGTTCTGTATAGATTACGCTTGATTTTATCAAGTAGTAGAGTAGATGTATGGAGAAGAGGGTAGAATGAGATGAGGAAGGAGATATTTTGTAAATATTATGTTTATTTAATACTGTTAAAACACATATTTTTACCTGTTGCTTGATAACCAGCTTATTAAGTAAACTTGTTTTTATATTCCAGGGGTTGAAACTGTTAGGGGCTAAAACCCGGATTCGAGGGGGGGGGGGGGGCTCATTCCTCACATCCCCTCCTCATGTTTACGCCCCTGACTATATCATTCTTCCTGTGTCTAGGTTGAAAATGATCAGACTTTAATCGGATAATCTGTTCCAATACATCTTCACCAGTTTACAACTATTTGACATCTTCTTGTATTTTTATCATAAATTCATTCAGCTCTAGTTCTTAATCCTAAGGCAGTTAAAAAGATATTTATAAAATGCAATTGATACAGATAACAAGAGGGGCCAAAGTAATTGTAAGCCCCCTTTTTTAAGAGAATACTGAAAAATCAAGGTTTAAAATCATTGATGCTTAACAATGTAAGAAGTAAAAATATTTTATGTAAGTTAAAATAAATTATAATGTTCAGGATTTAAAAAAATGTCAGGTTTCCAAAACATTCTACATATTTACTACTTCGAAGTTCGTAAATTTGATAATGCGAAATAAGAGTGACAGAGGGGTAGATATTTGTAACTATTGATTAATTATTGTTCGCAGTAGCTTTGCAAAAATAAGGTATCGTGCCACGACTTTCTCAGTACTTCACTCTCCAATTGAATTATTGAAAATGTTGTAGAATATTTATGTTTGAAAATGCCAGCATGGAAAGAACGTTAAGGATATTGATTTTACTGAAGGGTGTGTCCAAAGTCATGCAAATCTTCTCATTATTTTGAACTGTGCGCCATCATATACACAAATGCAATTTTGTATATGAGTTTATAAAGTCCTTTTACTCCTAACCTCTTCACTGTCTTCCTACCCCCCTTACCCTTTCCCTGTCTTTCTACCCCGTCCTTATACTTTCCCTGTCTTCATATTCCCCCTTACCCTGTCCCTGTCTTCCTACCCTCCTTACTCTTTCCTGTCTTCCTACCCCCCTTATACTTTCCCTGTCTTCCTACCCCCCTTACACTTTCCCTGTCTTCCTACCACCCTTACCCTTTCCCTGTCTTCCTATCCCCCCTTAATCTTTCCCTGTCTTCCTACCACCCTTACAGATGTTAACGTTTTCATTTTATTGAAAAACGATCGTTTCGTTATGAAAACGACATACGACCATTCGTTAACGATGGTTAAATACAAACCTTTGTTAACAATCGTTAACGACGACTCTTCGTTAACGATCGTTAACGAAGAGAGGAAACCGACCTGAAAGGCATCTGTAAGACGACATTCAATAAAGTTGCATGTCATTTTTTTTCAAAAACGATCGTTTTTCCAAAAAAAAAGTTTGTCGTTTCGTTAACTATCGTTATTGACAATCCTCCGTTAACGATCGGTAACGATGATCCTACGTTAAGGATCGTTAACATAGTTGTCAATAATTTTTTTTAAGACGATCGTTTTTTCAAAAGCGATCGTTTTAAAAAAAAATCTTATAAAAAACGGCCGCAAATCGTTTTTATAAAAACGATCGTTTTCAAAAATGATTGTTATTCGTTTTCTAAAAGTTCAAAACGAGTGGATCTTTTTTAAAAACGTTAGTTTTTTCCAAAAACGAAACGATCGTTTTTGAAAACG